AGCCTGTGCCAGAGGGGTACCCTGGAACGCCGTGGCGTGCAGGTAGTCGAAGACCACATCCCGCATGGAGGAATCGTTTTCCTGCATCTCCCGCAGGATCACGTCTCGTTCCTTTTCAATCTGTGAGTCTTCCAGGCTGCAGTTCTGCACAATGTCAGCCAGAAGTTCCACAACTGGACATAGGAAGATATGTTTAGGGCCCAGTAGAGACCAAAAATGACAACATATCACCCCAAGCCTGGTTTCTTTTGTTGCCCACTCTGTTGCATGGCCACGACCCATAGGTAATCTGATTCTGCAGCTACATTCCCCCTACTCCCCTAGTCTAATCCTTTCCCCCTACTCCCCTAGTCCAATCCTTTGGTTCCCACCCCATCCTCCAGGCATTACCTTTTGGCAGGTCTTTGGACAGTGCCTTGATATAGTAAGCTGTGTGTTCCCGAGTGCTGTAGGCATTAAGATGGGCCCCCATGCTCTCCACCTCTTTCTCAAGGGCACTGCCAGGCCTATTCTTCGTTCCCTAGAACCAGACATGAGAGAACCAATCAGTAGCCACACAAAAGCCCACAAATCCTGTCCTCACAAGTGGTTTGACAGTTTCTCCCTCAGCAGCAACCATGGAGATACAGGGCCCAGAGTCCATACTCCCCAAATACCAAAGGCCCACACCCCATGTTCAAGTGATGGGACTTACTCCCCAGCTGTGCCATTTATGATTCTGCACCTGCCAGCAGTCACCTTATAGGACCTATGCAGTCCCAGGGACTGTGTGCAGGGGCAGGGTGTTGTCCTGTGTGCCACCTCACTCATGCACATGCATACACACACATGTTCGCACACACAATCATGACAATGGAGCTGCCTGAGTTACCTGTTCTGTCTCCACAACTCTGCCTATCCCACACCCTCCTGCCCGTTTTGTTTATTCACTAATAGACACAGAGGCCTCTGCAATCAAGGGTGTACAGATGTACTACCAAAGTAGGATACTTCATAAGAAGCATGCATTTGTACACTGTCACAACATGGGCCCAGCAGCCCTAGTACCAAGTGGGGCTCCTGAGGCCCCTTGGGTTTCCCTGGCTTCGGAGACTTCATGTAGGGGCTCATCAGGTAAGTGCTCACTCAGAAGCAGCTAAGCCCACGTGTTCTTCTGGAGAGGCCAGAGAGGTCACTCACTCACTGAGGCTCCTATTCAGGAGGCTTATTTTTCTGACCTTCCTTCTCAAAACAAGAAGGCCTAAGCCCATGGAAGATGCAGACTTCATAAGCCTCACCTTGAAAGCCAGATGCTCCACGAAGTAGCCTGCCCCATTATTCTTCTCAGTCTCGTATCGGCTGCCAGCATCAATCCACACTCCTACCTGGACGAGAAGCCACCAACAAAAGAAACACACAGATCACACTAGCCTGTATCACAACCCACCAAGGGACTCAGCATGAACCCCAGCCTGGAGCTCAAAGGCCTATATGGGATGCAGTGCCCCTCTAAATCTGCTGTGCTGGGAGGCCCCACAAAATCCCACCATGGGGGCAACCAAAGACTATACCCTGTACCCCCTCTCCTTCCTGCCCTGTTTCATCACTGTCATCAGGGACACCAGAGACACTGCCATGCCTGTTTACTCGGTCCCACAGCCACCATGATTTGTGTGTGGGGCGGGGGGGGGGGGTGCTAAGTTGAACTCAGGGCCTCATGGCAAGCATTCTAAGACCTGAGTTACACCCCCAGCCCTTTTACACATTTTGTTTTGAGATGGGATCTTTTTAAGTTGCCCAGCCTGAACATGCAATCCTCCTGCCTCAGCCTCTCAAGTAACTGGAATTTCAGGTATGTACTAACTTACCTAACTATATAATGAAAATCTTAAATTTAGTAGCTTTTCAGTTGCTTCTATCTTTTCTGGGCATGAAATTTACCATTTGCAAACAACTTATTTTCTGTACTGTAGAAAGAATATCCTGCCTTTATTCTCATGATTGTATCCTCTCACCACTAAGGAAGATGCTGTTTAGGCACTGTATGTTTCATCATATTAAGGAACTAACCTTCCACTAACTTGTGTTGTTGTTGAGATGAAACCTCACATGCTATCCAGCTTGCTGCCAAACTCTGGGGCTCAAGCAATCCTCCCGTCTCAATCTCCTGAGTAGCTAGAACTGTCTATAGCCTCATCAATACTTTACTCAGCAGTGCTGGGAATCAAACCCAGAGCCTCACATGCCACGCAAGGGCTCTATCACTGAGCTGCACCAACAGCCATGAAAGAGCTTTTAATCAGACTCCAGCACTGAACACTACCAACTAGCTCCTTGGCACCAGATCAGAGAATCTTCTGGTGTGCTGTGAAATACCCATGTTCGTTAAGTGTATCTAAAATGTACCAATAAAATCTGAGGAAGAAAGAAAGAAGGAACAAACCCCAGTCACAATGGTCTCATTTTTTTTTTTTTTTTTTTTTTTTGGTCTTTTTCGTTTTTATCGGTACCAGAGATCAAACTCATGACTGCCTGCTTGCAAGGCAGGCGCTTATGCCGCTGAGCTAAATCCCCAGCCCCAATGGTCTCATTTTTAGTTTATTATTTGTTCACAACTGTCTCCAGTTTCTCACATCTACTTTCCTAAGAGATGCTGATGTATACACTGCATGTGGCAAAATCTTAGATGAGTGCGAGTCAGGGGTGATAGCAAACACCTGTAATCCCAGCACATGGGGCAGGAGTTGAGGCCAGCCTGCGCTACACAGTGAGTGGAAGGCCAGTTTGAATCACAGTAAGACCCTGCCTCAAAAAAAAAAAAAAAAAAAAAAAAACCATAAACAAATGAGTAAAATAAAATCTTAGATGAATATATATTTCATTTTTTTTCTTCTCAACTTTTGTGAGAAAGGAGATGAATATGTATTTCAAATTGAGCACCTTAGAAAACAAATCCATTTCTTAACCCCCAGTATTCTCTGGTGAGAACTGGCAGCATTGTCTCTGGCATGGGAACACAGTGTTACACCTCCTAATCTATAGCTTCTCAGATTCCACAACATATAACATGATCCACTAAGCTGTCTCAGCAGGTTTTGGGTCAGTTTATACAGGTGTCTTTTCTTTTTTTGTTGTTGTTGCTGTCTTTATTTTTATTATTATTTTAAACAGGCAGGGTCTTGCTAAATAGCTCAGGGGGACCTCCTGCCTCAGGCTTTCCCGGGCTGGGACTACAGATTTGCCCCACCACACCCAATTTATATTAACAGGGAGGTTGTTTACCACCCTTTTCTGTGTGCAGTAACAATTTACATCATAGATTACTGTTTGTTCCTGGAAAACTGAATTTGCCAATAGCAGGGTTTGGCAACTGACACCTATAATCCCAGCACTGGGGGCCTGAGGGAAGAGGATCACTCTGAGTGCAAGGCCAGTCTGGGCTACATAGTGAAGTCAAGACCAACCTGAACTACATACTGAGAGTGTGTCTCAAAACAAAATGTAAAACTTTCCAATAAAAACATTTGGCCCAGGAACTGGTGAATGGTGGCAGGGATTACTTCTTGGGAATCTTCTCTCGTATTCACTGACCTAGTCAAGATTTTTATCCTTGGCTCAATTCTCAATAAATATATATATATATATATATATATATATATGTATATATATATATATACATATATATATATATATATATATATATTTGGTTTTTTTTTTAAATCACTCATTTCCCTGTAATGTTCAAATGCATTTCTACCTTTTTTTTCCAGGTACTGGGGCTCAAACCCAGGGCATGTTAGTCAAGAGCTCTATCACATTCTCAGACTCTTAAATGCCTTTTTTTTTTTTTTTTTTTTTGGTACTAGAGAGTGAATTCTGGGACTTTGCACTGAGCTACATCCTTACTCCCAATCTCAGGTTTTTGAAACAAGGTGTGGCTCAGTGGCTAAACTGCTCAAACTGGGCTTGAATTTGGCATCCTTCTGCCTTGGCTTTCCAGGGAGCTGGGATTACAGGTGTTCTCCACAGCACACGGCTGTGACTGCATTTCTTGCACTTGGCTGTGATAGTAACGGACCTAGACCCCTCTAAGTCACCTAAAAACATTTCTGAAGCCCATTTTCCGCATTCTTTTCACCATCACTTCTCTCACACAGGATGAACACGAAGCTGGGAAAGACGCCTGGCAGGCGGCAGGTGGTGCACGAACGCCGAGTGCAGTGGAGTCAAGACAGGACTGAGGTCGCAAAGGGGACCATCCAGAGAACACAGGGTGCAAAGGACTCAACCCAAAGTCACAACCGCCGGACGGCGACGGAGGCCGGCTCGGCCACGGCCTCTACTCACCGTGCAGGTAGGCTGGGCCGAGTGCTCCGAGGCCACGCGCAGCCCGTTGTCCAGCACGCTGACCTGCGTCTCCGGTATGGCCTGCAGAGCCTGCGCGAAGGTCGCCGCGCCCCGCAAGGCTGCAGTCCTCAACACGGCCGGCTGCGGAGAGGGTCGGCGCCAAGAGGACAGGGCTTGGAGTCGCTCTTACCCTAACCAGCACCCGGTCCCCCACCATCGCCCCACTGGCAGCGCGCCGCGCATCCTGTCCTCTGCCGTGACCTTCTCATGACCGCGCTCCGCAACCTCGCCACCTCTAACCGCCATCGCTAACAGTCCAATCCCTTCCGGGTCCCACACCTAGGCCGCCGCAGTCTCGCGTCCGCGCCGCCACCTTACCCAGCAGCCGGGGCGTAGCAGCACTTGTGCCCCAAATCCGGCCGCCCGGCAGACCGCGGACGCCGCCATCTTTTCGCTTCCGTCAGCACGAAGCTGCCCTACGCACGCGTAGAATGGATGCCTCAGCGCCTCAGGAGCAGGCGCAGTACGGAAAACTCGGCGCTCTGCCGCCCCCTGGCGGAGCGGGGGGTTTATCACGGGACTAGTCGTATTTCTGTTTGCAGCCCTGGGGGTCTGGGGGTTTCTCACTGAGCTCTTTTTTTTTTTTTTTTTTCGGTCTTTTTCGCTTTTATCGGTACCAGGGATCGAACTCACGACTGCCTGCTTGCAAGGCAGGCGCTTATGCCGCTGAGCTAAATCCCCAGCCCCACTGAGCTCTTTTTTATTTTTCATTTTACAACAGAGTTTAGTTTGCTAAATTTAATTTGCGAAATTCAGTTTGCATTGACTGGAACTCGTGACCCTCCTGTCTCAACTCTCAGAGTGGTGGGATTACACACCTACATCACCATACACAGTTTGGTGAGCATGTGACTGTCAACCTGCCTGCGGATCAGCCTACGAGCCCACCCAGTCCATTTCCCTCTTCCTTCTGTGCAAGACGTTTACCAGCTGCGGGCCTCGGATGCCTCAGTGTATGCACGGGTCCTAGCGGTGACTACTGTCCCAGACAGCTGTTAGACAGAAATTAATAGGCAGAGATGTATTAGCCCTCCAGAGAGTCAGTGCGGAGGAAGAGACGTCAAAATTGAGACTGGAGGCAAATCCAGAAAGGGCCAGGCCAGGCCCGCAGGCGTCCCTAGAGACTAACAGCAGTTAGAGACTGAACTGTGATTACCACCACCTGGTCGAGGGGCCCCAGCTTAGCATCAGATAGATGCTCAGGTGAGTGACACCCTGACTCGCACTTCTGAGGGGTTCTACTTGCATGGGACTCTGCCAGGTTCGACATGGCACAAGTCTTATCATGGCGCTGACCCCTAAAACAACAACGTATCTCTTTTACACTAACTCCCATTGTTCTTCTAGTCCCAAAAAATAACTTCCTGCCTTCCTTTGGGGCGTGTGCTAAAGGTCCTCCAATCCTCCCTGGAACACCATCCACTCAGGTAGTGCCCACCCCCTGGGCCCAGAAGTCCTCCAGTTCCCTCCCCATACTGAGATACTTACATAGTCTCCCCTCCTATCCCAACCCTATAAAAGCAACTCCCGCGGCTTTGTCTCCCTCAAGGGTCCTCGCAGTTTACAGCTGTCTTCCTGCGCCAGCAATAAAGGCTTTTTTTTTTTTTTAATGTTTTTCTCTCTCAAAAACTCTAACAACTTCCATCCCTTTCCAGGAATGCCTCTGTTCTTTCTATATTAGAAGTTAGAGACCAGCTAAGGTTTACGGTGCTCACTATCCACTCTTGCTGCGTACCTCAATTCCCTATTGGATCAATATTAACTAAGCAACTATTCCTGTAATTCCTATTGGTTGGTTATAGTTCGAGCTACTCAAAATGTGGTTTTGCTGTACAAAATACCCTTGGCCAAAATCTCAGGGGCAACCCACTTTCAGGAATCCTCCTCTCTCTCAGGAGCTGTCTCTTTTAATCTACTGGTAATCTCCTTTGTCCTGGTGTTCATTCTTGGGTATCAGAAGACAAACTGAGCACGTGTGGCATCTAATAAATTGGGAGTTACTTCCCTGTGACACTTCCAGAGCCTGAGGTAGAAGAATCATGAGTTCACGTCCACCTTGGACAACTTGAGTTCAAGTTCCTCCTTGAGAATCCTCTGGACAACAACCACAAAACAAATGGGTGGGATTTAGCTAGGTGTAGAGTGCTTGCCTAGCATGTGTGAGGCACTGGGTTTAATCCTCAGTATCTAGAAAAAAAGAAAAAAATAGATTCTGATGGTTGACCTGGAAAAAGTTAACCATAGATTGCTAAGGGGAAAAAAAGGAGCAAGTTAGAAATAAATTTGTGATCTAAGATTCCTTGTTTGAAAACTAAACTAAACTAAAAGCAGCATAACATCACACTGTAAACTTTTAGCAAGGTCACTTACAAAAAGTGGGTCAAGGGAAAGGAGGGTATCATTTTTTTTTTTTTTTGTCTTTTTCCTTTTTATCGGTATCGGGGATCGAACTCACGACTGCCTGCTTGCAAGGCAGACGCTTATGCCGCTGAACTAAGTCCCCAGCCCCGAGAGTATCATTTTTACATGTCTGTATATTTATTTATTTAGAGACAGGGTCTCACTTTGTAGTCCAGGCTGGCCTTGAGCTCCCTGGGTAGTGCAGGCTGGCCTCAACCTCATGGTGATCCTCCTGCCTCAGCCTTCCGAGTGTTAGAATTACAGGGGTGCGATGTCACAACTGGCACTTCTGTATTATTTTAAATACTTCTGTATTTTTACCAAAATGCATTACTTTCAAAATAACAAAACATAGTTCTGAATTTTTACAGAAGTACATGCTTTGTTTTGCTTTCATATTTGTGATCTTTCAAAAAATCACTCCACTAACTAAGACATGTATATAAAAATGACACAAAAAGGGGCTGGGGATTTAGCTCAGTGGCATAAGCACCTGCCTTACAAGCAGGCAGTCGTAAGTTTGATCCCCGGTACCAATAAAAAGGAAAAAGAAAAAAAAAGGTATTTGGTGTGTATTAACTGTTTTATGGGTTAAAAATTATGATTTGGACATGCAAAGTAAGAGAAATAGAGTTGGATCAGGGCTGTAGCTCAGTGGTACAAGCACCTGCCTGGCAAGCTCAAGGTCCTGAGTTTTATTCCCAGAACTAAAAAGAAAAGCAATAACAAAACCAGAAACAAAATAAAACAGAGAAATACAGTTGTCTAGGCTGTCCATTTCTCCACTCAAATTTAGTTTTTACTGGGGTTTTGGGGGTTTTTTTTGAGACAGGATCTCATTATGTAGTCCAGGCTGACCTGGAACTTGCCCCAATCCTCTTGCCTCAGCTTCCTGAGAGCTGAGATTACAGATGTGCAATGTCATGCCTGACTCAATTTTAGTTTTTAAAACAGTTTTAAATTTTAGGTTTTTTAAGGACTTGGAATTTATTTATTTTATTAGCACATATTTGCATACATAATGATCACATTTATCAGAGGGAATTTGTATCTGTACATAATGTCTTTACTCTTTTCTCCTGATTCCCCCCACCCTTCAAGCCTTCTTCCCCTCCCCATTTACAAAATGTTTCCATTTTTCCCACCCATTCTTTTTATTCCTTTTTACTTCCCTCCCTCTCTTCCCTTCCCACTTGAACAAGTTCTTCCTACTTCCTAATATCTATCCTCCACTTTGCTCCTTATTTAGATTTTCTCACACAAGAGAAACAATGCAATGTTTAAACTTGTGTGTCTGATTTATTTCACTTAAAATTATGATTTGAGCCTGTAATCCCAGCACTCGGGAAGCTGAGGCAGGAGGATCTTTTCTAGTTTGAGACCAGCCTGGGCTACAAAGTGAGCTCAAGCCAGCCTGAACTGCATAGAGAAACACTGTCTCAAAAACACAAAAATAAATAAGTTTAATTAAAAATAAATGGTGGGGCTGGGGATTTAGCGGCATAAGCGCCTGCCTTGCAAGCAGGCAGTCGTGAGTTCGATCCCCAGTACCGATAAAAAAGGAAAAAGACAAAAAAAAAAAAAAAAAAAAAATGGTGCTGGGAAAACAGGTGACTTATATGCACAGGATTGAATATAGACCCATATTGCTCACCATATATTAAACTAAAATCAAAATGGATCAGAGAACTAAATGTGAAACCAGAAACACTTAACCTACTGAAAGACAAGATAGGTAAAATTCTAGAAGTCATAGGAATTAAGATGTGTTATGTACATGTACTAACTCCTCACAAGACTCTAAACAGTGTGGACTGCAAGCACATTAATAAAAAAAAGATTGAGGAAAAAAAGAACAAACACTTGGATGTGTTAATTTACTTTTTAACTGGATTAAGTACACACATTGAGCAAAAGAGAAGAATAGATGGGTGTTGGGTAAATGGAGGTGAAAGGCAGTACCCAGAAACCAAGGCTGAGGAACCATCAGCTTTAATTTATCTACACACAGGCAGGCTGGCATGGAAGTGATGTCTGCAGCTCTCTGGAGGGTAGGCTGAGTGTATAATAGAGTTTAGAGTGGTGTCATGATGCACTGACGGTGCAGGACAGGGATGCACTGTTTGAAGTCAAAATTGCAATTAGCTGTGTAGATAGAACTGGCGCGAAGATGACTTTAAGTCCAGTCCTAGAGCTGGGGATTTAGCTCAGCGGCATAAGCGCCTGCCTTGCAAGAGCAAGGTTGTGAGTTTGATTCCCGGTACCAAAAAAAAGCCCAGGCCAGGCCAACCTGAGCTGCATAGTGCGACCCAAATAAAAACAAGAAAGAGAGAAGGAAAAACAAAGAATAGTGGAGAATCTATTGTTTGTAGTGGGCAGTCCAGATGTCTCTCAGGTCACTATCAGATCAGGCCTGACAACTGGGCACAGTGCATGCCTATAAACCCAGCTCACAGGGAGGCTGAGACAGGAGGATCACAAGTTCAAGGCCATCCTGGGCAATTTAGTGAATAAAATTTAAAGAGATGGAAGTGCGCCACCAGGGCAAGCCGCAGCCTCGAGGCCGAGGGACCCCAGATGCGGGCGGGCGAGGCGACGCGGCGAGAGCCGGAACCGGCGCGGGTGGGCGGCGGCGGGGGCGGCGCCTGCGCTGTGGGCGATCCCGGGAGGCGCGGGGTGGGGCCGGCCTGGCCACATTGTTTGCTGCACGTCCTTAGCGGCGGCCGAGGCGGGGAGCTGGGCCTGGCCCCGGGCGCCGGGCTCACCGAGTAGGGTGCCGGAGAGGGGCTCCGTGCAAGTGTTAGGGGTCCCTGGGGGCGCGCGGAGGGTGCGGGCAGGCTCGGGGAAGATCCGAGGGTCGGGCCCGGCCCGGTGGAGGGGACGTCCCTTCGTGCAGGCTTGGGGGCGCCGGGGCCTTGGGAAGGTCGGGGCGAGCGCGATGGTAATGGAGGGAGAGGACTGGGGGTCCCGGGCGGGAACGGAGGGAGCTGAAGCCGGGTGCGCGCAGGCTGCGTGCAAGGCAGGGCGTGGAGCGGACCGGAAGGGGGAAGGAGGACGGTGGGGGAGGGGATGTGGCCGTGGGGTGCAGTCTGAGCTCCGAGGGGCGGAGGGGAAGCGGGGCTCTGGTGGCGAGCAGGGGTTCCCTTGAGTGGCGGCAGGGAAATGGAGGGTGCTTTGGTAAAAGGTGTATGAGGGTACCCCAGGGGCTCTGGACCCCAGAGGGTGTTGGCCAAGGGGTACTCAGGGAGCCCCCGAGAGAGGAAGGTGCAGAGGTTGACGGGTCAGGGCAGAAGGAGGCAGGCGCAGGTGTTGGGTGCTCAGGGGAGAGGGATATGGAGTGGGAGGGGAGCGTGATTGGAGCAGGGGCTGAACATGAGGGGTTTGGGGTGAAATGGAAACCGTGAGGAAGGGCAGTGTGTGTGGCGAAGAGATCTGGCTCTGCGCTGTGGGATGGTAAATAAACCGCAAGGGTGAGCGAAATGGAGTTCGTGCACCTGGGAAATACAGATGGGGGCAGCGGGAGAAAGGAGTTGAGTTTCAGGGGACACTAATGGGATAGGTGTGGAGGTGAGGGGCCTTGAGAGCGTGTGAAGTGAGGGATAAGGAGTGGCGGTGAGGGAGGAGGGGAGTGAACTTGGACTGGCCACGACGGGGGACGGACTTTTCTAGTGTAGGAAGTGTGGAGAGAGGTCGGGAGCAGGAATTGGAAGGTGGGAAAATGGGAGTCAGGATGCGGTGGATGGCGTGGGAGGCCAAGTGGAGGTCAGGTACCCTGTGTGGAGGGAGGGAGGCAAAGAAAGAAGGGTTGGAGACAAACCTCAGAAGAAGAGCACCTGCCTGTGTGTGTGAAGCCCTAACTTCCATCTCCAGTAATGATGAAGAAGGAGCCGGAATGGCTGTCTCAGTGACTGACTGGCTGGTTACATGGAATCACAGTAGTAAAGGAACTATAAAAATAGGTCTGAGCGAGTTCCCCCAGAGGGGTGTGGTGGTGAACCCCGACTCCTGAAAGGCATGTAAGGAATCCAGCCTCAGAGGAGGCCAGTGGTTTCTCCAACAGCTGAAATCTCATTAGTTGGTCTCCATTCAGATGGCTTCAGGAAAAGGGCCTCAAGGTGAGGCTTCTTCAGAGCAAATCGTTCTTCCCCTCCCCTTCACGGGAAAGTCTTTACCTCTCTGAAGGTGAACAATAGCTCGTAATTTCCATACCCAGTCTCTCTGCTTCATACTTTCTCTTTCCATTCATTCACACTGCAAATTGATTAAGCACCTGCCATGTTCTGGGGCCTGTTCTATGTGGGGGGCGGGACCAAGGGACATTTACCTTGAGTTTACTTACCTGTGGCACAAAAAGAATCCCAATCAGCTATTCGAGCATCAGCAATGCCACCTTTAGGCACCACCCCAGTTGGAAACTATGTGTATGCACTCCACACCACTTTCCAGCAGAGAAAGCCAGACCCCCAGTGGTCATGGGGTTTCTTTCCGAGTTCTTAGAGCAAAGCCCATTTTTAGTTTATATTCTCTCTTTTACTGTGCTGAAAATCCTATCATTTGATTCCTCGACAGAGAAGGCAGTGTGAGTGACTCCCCAGTTTGAGTCTCCCTGCCAATTCAAGGACTGGACTGCATCTTGGATTAATTCCTCAACAGGAGGGTTAATTTTTCAACACATAGGAGCTGCTAAACTTGTCACCACTGGCCTGCAAACAACACTGGCCTAATTCTTTTTTCTTTTTCTTTTTCTTTTCTTTCTTTTTTTTTTTTTTTTTTTTTTTTTTTCTTGTCTTTTTGAGACAAGGTCTCTCTATGCAGTTCAGGCTGACCTTGAGCTCAGTTTGTAGCCTAAGCTGGTCTCGAACTTGCAATGATGCTCCTGCCTCAGCCTCCCGAGTGCTGGGATTACAGGCGTGAGCCACCATGCCTGGCTCGGCCTAATTCATTTACCTCAGGTGAGCCAACCTCTGTCTGAGGGTTTCTCCGAGACCGTGGGCCAGGCTCAGGCCTGATTATCCATTCTGTCCCTGGACTGGGGTAGCAGTTCTCACGTGCCTTGGACAGTCCAAGGCAGAGCCCTTACTGTGGTCTTCTGGGACCCCACCAGTGCCCTTTTGGTGACGGCCAGAGGGCAAGAGTTGGAGCTGTTCCTTTAACCATGCTTCCAAAATAGATGATGATCTCTTTTGGTTAGCCATGGTCTAGACAAAATTGTCCCTTTTGGCTCACTTTTAATTCGGTCATGGGAAATACATTTTCCTCTCCCCAAAAAAACACACCTCTGGGGTGCCTGGTTCATAACCTTGGTACCCTTGGCCTAAAGAAAACCATAAGAATTAAACAATCTTAGGGTCTGGAGATTTAGCTCAGCGGCATAAGTGCCTGCTCTGCAAGCAGGAAGTCGTGAGTTCGATCCCTGGTACCCATAAAAAGGAAAAAGACAAAAAAAAAGAATTAAACAATCTTACTGCCAGGAGACTTGGCCGACCTACGAACTTAACAACAGCCCATGGCCTAAAGAGGGGATGTTTGACCCCTGTATTCTCAAAAATTTATATGACTTGTTACATTGGCTATGAGTTAGCAGAAATTCCGTATGTACCAGCCTTCCTTACCCTAAGAACGTGCTCTTCTCTCATTAAATCATGTACAGCAACTCAAATATTTTTAGCTAGCTCTACTGTACTACAAACTTTCCCCTCCTGCCCTCAAGACCCCTTAGACAATGTGCCCCCGTCTTTAACTCCCCCTTCTCCCTATTCCCAAGATCAAACCCTACAGCCTTCTCAGCCAAAGATTTCTGTACCTGCTGCTCTTTCCTCTCCTCCTCCCTCCCCTAGCATCTCTAATCCTTACCCTAGCGTCTTTTAATCCTTCCCTAGAGTCTCTAATCCTCCCCCTATCCTGTCTCCCCAGTCTCCAACTTCTCAATCCCCCCCCCCACCTGGGCCATCTGTTCTGTATGAGGGTTCTTTGTCTCCCCCTGTGTCGCCATTTTCTCCGCCAGCTCCAGCTCGACTCCTGGACCAGAGACAAGCCCTACCTACCTACACTCTTAACTTTTACCCTTCAGATGGGGAAATAATTACCTCTCATAACTTCACTCCTCTTAACCCCACACTTATTTTTCAAAATTCTACCTCACCATGATCCTGATTAAATGACATATCTAAATCAAAGACACCTTTCCTTCTACTTCACCTGGGTCCTTAAATGTAATAGTGGCCTGCCTCTTCATGACACCTTGTCTCTTTGTTTTTCCAGTCTAACGTGCAGGCATTCACCAATGATGAAGTTGTCCTGGGTGAAACACCTGGCATCAGCTTCTGCGTGAGCATCAACCATCATCCCATCAACTCTCCTAAACCCCAATATGATGCCCCCTTTCAGCAGGAAATAGTAAGAGAGTGGAAAAACTTCACCCTTTTCCTAATAATACAAAGAAGAGAATGAAAGGATTTTGCCCTAGATAGGATATTATAGCAGTGAGACATGGGACCAAGGGACATTTACCTTGAGGTTCACTTTCCCTTCCCCTATGCAACTTACCTGTGGTGCGAAAAGAGTCCCAGTCAGCTAATCGTGCATCAGTGATGCCACCTTTAAACACCACCCCAGTCGGAAACTATATGTATGCCCCCCACACCACGTTTCCTGCAGAGAAAGCCAGGCCCCTAGTGGTCATGGGGTTTCTGTCCACATTGTTAGAATAAAGGCCAATTTTACTTTATATTCTTTCTTTTACCCTGCCGAAAATCCTATCAGGAAGAACAAACAAAGGATTCATTTATAACTGTCTTGTAAGCCAGGCCTGGGAGCATATGCCTGTGATTTCAGCCCAGGAGAGGCTGAGGTAAGACAACTGCAAATTCAAATGAGTAATCCAGTACTAGAAGAAAACAAAATCTAGCCTAGAGTGCCAGTGCACACCTGTAATCCCAGCACTTGGGAGGTTGAGGCAGGAGAACTGCTGTCTCAAAAAACTCTTAAGTATCGTAGGTGTTATGAGGATGCTGAGGAGGAAAAAATGTCCAGTCTGGTAAGGGATGGAGCTCAGTGTTTCTGTACACACGCACGCGCATGCGTGTGCACACACACACACACACACACACACACACACCTGTCAAAATAACAATGCCACGTTGCTGACTCCGCAGGCAACTGTCTCTACTATGATCAGCCAAATCCTCCCTGGTGAGCACATTTTCTTCATGTTCCAGGTTCCCACACCCACCCCCTGTCCTACCCATCCTGACCCAGCCTTCCCCTGGCTTCTCCCTGTGTACTCTGGCCACCTGAATGGAACATGGCCAGCAAACTCTTTCCTTGGCCTCCCAAACCCCTAGTCCTCATTGCTGCCTTCCCTCAGCAAATGGTGCGATTACTCAGGTTAAGAACCCAGGCGCTATCCCAGCCTCCTGACTCTCCAGATCCACCCCAGTTCTTCGACAAGTCCTACTCCCCTCAACTCCCCTACTTTTTTGAGAGGAAGCAGGCTGGTCTCAAACTCCCAGACTCCAGCAATCCTCCATCTCAGTCTCCCACCTAGCTGCAGCCAGATGACTAGAGACTTCCCATGCCTGCCCCAGATAACCCAGAACCTGGCCACCTCCCCACCAACCCCACAGCACTGCACCCTAGGGTGAGAAGGGAAGGCCAGTGATGGGGACAGTCAGGTGTGTGTTTCAAAAAAATGTTCAAGGTCAAGTTGCCTCCGCACCAGGAAGAAACACATCAAGCAGGTTAAGTCAGAGGTCAGTACTATTTCAATCAATACTTTGTTGGGCAAGTCTTTGGTGACTCACTGGTAACTTCTGGAATTTACTTCGTATATGACATGAGGTGGGGTCAAAATATCCTTTTCTCATGAAACCCATGTCTTCATGAGATTCCTTTGTGTGTGTGTGTGTGTGTGTGTGTGTGTGTGTGGTCTCATAGAAATAGTCCTATAGTGAGCTACATCCTCAGCCCTTTTTAATTTAATTAATTGAGACAGGATCTCACTATGTAGTTCAAGCTGACCGTGAACAGTGATCCTCCTGCCTCAACCTTCTGCTGAGATTATAGCATACATACACACACACATGCACACACACACACACACACACACACACACACACACACACGTGCATGCACACACACCCCAGCTTCTAAATCCTAATTGCTGGGTTGTGCTATGGCTACGAGGGCTCAACATTTATTTGACACATTTATCTGTTTATTTTGCTAGTTTTCTTTTTCTATTGTTTTGAATTTTACCTTTAAAAAGGTACCTGGGCCTGGAATATAGCTCAGCAGCACAAGCACCTTCCTGGCAAGCACAAGGTCCTGAGTTCAATTTCAGATGTCAAACGAAACAGCATAAAACAAAACAAAGCCCAAGCATAGTGGTGCATGTCTATAATTCCAGCACTTGGGAGGCTGAGGCAGGAAGATCGTTGGGAGTTCAAGACTAGCCTGAGGTACAAAGTGAGCTCAAGCCCAGCCAGAACTGCATAGTAAGACCTCGTCTCAAAAAGACAAAAAAAAAAAAAAAAAGATACACAAATTATGAATCAGTGCATAGGTCAGGGACGTTAAGTATGTTGAACATATTGCACAACCATCTCCCCTATCTGTTTCTGGAGCGTTCTGGAGAAACTCTGTACCCATTAGGCACTGACTCATTCTCTCCTCCCCAGCCCCCTAAGGCCTCTGCAACTGCAGATGGTTATGACTGCGTGTTCTGCCTCACACGAGTGAACTCTTATTTGTGCTTTTACATCCGACTCATTTCACTTAACACAGTGAACGGCCTCAAGATTACCCGTGGTTCAGCAAGTGTACTGTGGTAAAACACAACCAAATTCACCATCATGACCATTTTCAAATGTACAGTTCAGAGGCATTAATTACGTTCACCATCCTCATCGTCTGTTTACAAAGCTTTCCCATGGCCCCAGACAGAAATCCGGGAATCATTAAGCAGTTATTCTGCATTTTCTCTGCCTGCTCTCCATCATCTTAGTTGCTACTAATCTATTTTCTGTTTCTACGAAATGGTCTAGTCTAAGCACCTCACATAAATAGAATCATAAGGTATTGATCCTTTTGTGTCTGCTAATTTCATTTAGCATTGTGTCTCCATGATCTATCCATGTCATAGCAGGTACCAGAAATTCAGTACTGGTTTTTTCAGTGCAGGTGATCAAACCCAGGGCCTCACACTTCTGAGGCAGTGCCATGTGCCACTGAGCTGTGTTGCCAGGCTTTTATTATTTTATTTTTAATTTTGAGACAGGCTCTCACCAAATCACTGAATCACCTGGGCAGGGTTTAAACTTGTGCGCTTCCTGGTTCATGCTTTGAGCTCTGGCTCTAGAGACCTGTATCACCATGCACACCTACCTTGCTGGTTAGGTTGTTTGTATTGTTTTATTAGCTCTAAACAGGATCTTTTGCTATACAAAGTTTTTCTTCAATGTAACTTATAGCATAATTTTATTTTTTAATATTTTAGTTTATTACTACCTGTGTGCAGTACATAGTATGTACATTCTTTGTGTGGGGTTGGTGCATGTACACAGCACATCTTAAAAGCTTTTTTTCAGTAGTGGGAGTAGAAGTCAGGACCCTGTGCTTGCCAGGCAGGATTGTGCCATCCCTCCCTTTCCCTTCCCTCCCTCCGCCCTCCCCATCCTTTGATTCCTTTCCGTATTTTTTTGTACATGTTTTCAGTACTGATTTACCTTCCTTGTTGTTTTTTTTAATAAAGTCTAATGAATGCATTTTTTTTTTTTAAAAATTTTTTATGAATGTATTTTTCTTTCGTTACCTCTTTGTATCATATGAAAGCATTGCCTTCAACATTATAAGGATTTTCAGCTGCATTTTCTTCTAAGAATTTTAAATTTAATTTTTTGGTATAACTATCTTAACTAGTTTTTATGTACATATACATATATATACACATATACATATGTTTCTCAACTTTTCACACTAATAAAACAATATGATGTTTATACAGTGTGTGCCTTATTTATTTCACTAGTGAGTATGGTCTCAGGTTGCATCCATTTACCTATAAAAGTCTCCAGTTATCCTTCTTTATGGCTGATTAGTACTCTACTGTATAAAAATAACACATCTTTTTTTTGTAACACATCTTTTTTTATTCATTCCTTTGTCTTCATTTTTTGATAATAGCCATTCTTTATGGGATGAAGTGGAATCTTAGTATTGTTTCAATTTACACTTCTCAAATGACCAGTGATGCTAAACATTTTTTTTTCTTTTTTTTGTCTTTTTCCTTTTTATCGGTACCAGGGATCAAACTCACAACTGCCTGCTTGCAAGGCAGGTGCTTTATGCCACTGAGCTAAATCCCCAGCCCCGATGCTGAACATTTTTCACATACTTATTTGCTGTGGGTACTTCTTCATCTGAGAAGTGTATATTCATCTCAAGTGTCCATTTTTGAATTGGGTCTTTAAATCTGGGAGGACTGGGTTTTTTGTTTTTGTTTTTGTTTTTTGAGTTCTTTAAATGTTCTCAATAGTAATCCTTTATCTGAGGAATAGCTGGAAAATATTTTTTCCCACATTGTGAGTTACCTCTTCACTCTGTTGGTGGTTTCTCTGACTGTGAAAAAGCTTTTCAGTAGAGTGAGATCACAGTTGTTGATTCTTTGTGATAGTTCCTGTGCAGTCAGGGTTTTATTCATAAAATCTTTGCCTACACCAGTGTCTTCCTGAGTTTTACCTACTGTATCTTCCAGCAAATTTAATGTTTCTGTTTAATATTAATATATTTGACCCATTCTGATTTTAGCTTCGTGCATGGTGAAAGATATGTGTCCAGAATTAATCTTCAGCATGTGTAGAGCCAGTTTTTCCAGCACCATTTATTAAAGAGGCTATCTTTCTTCCAGCAAATCTGTTCGGCAGCTTTGTCAAAGATAAGGTAGCTTAGTGTGTCTGGAGTTATTTCTACATCTTCTAATCTGTTACATTGATCTTTGGGCCTGTTTTTGTGTTTGTTTTGCCAATATCACACTGTTTTTATCATAGTAGCTTATAGGGTATTTTCAAATCAGGGATTGTGATGCCCTCTGTCTTGTCTTTGTTGCCCAGGATTGCCCTTGCTATTCTAGGTCTCTTCTAGGTCTGGTTCCAGATGAATTTTCAGGTTGTTTTCTCTCATTCTATGAGATATGCGTTTGGAATTTTGATTGAGATTGTACTGAATCTGTATAACAGTTTTGGAAGAAAGGCCATTTTCACTCTATTGATTCTTCTTACCCAAGAGCACAGGCTATCTCTCCATTTTCTAACATCCTCTTCAATCTCCTTTTTCAGAGTACCGTAGTTTTCAGTGTAGGGTCTTTAACAGCCTTTATTAGATTGATTCTTAGGTATTTCATTTTTTTGGATGCTATTGTAAAAGGTATTATTTCCCTGATTTCTCTCTCAGTAAATTTGCTATTAGGGTACAGGAAGGGTATTGATTTTTGAGTGTTGACTTTGTATCCAGCTACACTAGTGAATCTGCTTATTAAATCTAATAGTCTTTTGGTGGAGTGTTTGGGGGCTTCAATGTAGAGTATGATGTCATCTGCAGATAACAGTAGTTTAATTTCTTCCTTTTCTATCTTTATTCATTTTATTTCTTTCTCTTATCTAATTGCTCCACCTTAAGTTTCCAGCATTATGTTGAATAGGAGTGGAGACAGTGGACATCCTTGTCTTGTTC